TGACACTTCTGGGCCACCGTACAATTCCAGTCATTTATTATTTAGTATCTGCTGATACCAAAGCTTTGATAAAACCCGCTTTACGTTTTGTAGATGAGCTGTAGTTACGGTTTAAAGCTGCTGGAACCAGATCAGACGGTGCTTCCATGTTGATGCTTAGCTTGTAGAGGCGCACCGTGACAGAGACCTGTAGGAGGTCTGCTGACTTCAGCCTGGTGAATAATGTTCAATTAAGCTAAAATAATGATGGTACAGAGTTAGTAGATCATTTGACAGTCATTTTTATATAAGGACAGACGAAAACAAAGAGGTTTTTGCTAATACTAAACACTTCAGCGTCCCTGTGATTGACGTCAGGTTTACTGATGTCAGGCCTCTGAAAAAAATATTACCTCAAGCTGGGATTCAGTAAAATAATGATCGTATAAAGTTCGTAGAACATCTGACAGCTGGTTTGTGGCTTTTATTTGAGGTGTCTATGTGAGAACAAAAAGTCGGGCAGAGATTTTTTTGCTAATATCGATCACTTATTGACATTTTAGCTGCTGGTCAAGACATTGTGGTAACTTTTATTATAGTGATCATTATTTCCAAGACTGAAAAAATTCTAAAGGGAAATTTCCTTTACAACTAAACCAACTGCAGCTTTAAACATCTGATTTTAATGAGTTTAGACCAAAACTGGTTCTGCAGTTGCTGTCTAGTAAGAAGGAGACACAACCAACACGTGATTTTTGAGGAAGTTTGATGATATAAAAATCAGTTTTTAAATCATTTCGAACCAACTCTGGCAGTTCTGCACTACAAAAGCTTTCAACACATCTGCAATAAGCTTTTTTTTTTTTTTGCTTGTAGCTCTGGAGTGTGAAGGTTCTAATAGTCCAACCACCTGCTGCAGCGAGCCACGGGGACGACATGGAGGGAAAACAGAGCAGACCGAGTCCAAGGAAAGTTCTTCTGTTTTCCCTTTAGGGGCAGAATAAACTCGATGTGAACCTCCAGTACGTGACGTA